GACAATAATCAGATGATATATATTATATGAGTAATCACTACTTTAGCTCCGGGTCATATATTATGAATGAAACCCACACGCAGCACTCTTCTAAAGATATAAACATAATATACTGACAATAAAGCGTACAAGATTTTGTTTATTCAGTGTTGTGTACTCGTGTATAAGATTTCTCTATCGAGCATAAAATATTTTTTTTAAGAAGCGTCTGTCTTTATTAAAAAAAAAATTTAAAAAAATATTATTTTTCTATAACAGACCAGTAGATAAGTGTATTTCAAATTGTGTTTACTGTACAACCTTGGATGGCTATAATACTAAAATAACCCTTTGCATTTTCATATCGTAATACGTAATAACACACGTATTTGAATGATTTAAAATAAAATAAACCACCGTCAGCTGTTATGATTTTATATAATAGTACAAAAAATATTGTGGTAACTTAATAACTATTGACTAAAACATATGTTTTTTTTTTTTAGAAATAAATTGATGTTGATTTTTATAATGCATCAAAACTAAAGTAGCAGTCGAATTGGCTCCTAAAAATCAGAAGTATTAAGTCGGACAATTGATTTTACTTTTTGTCAATTGGGTCTAATAAAATCTACACATATAATTATTTAGTAAATTAAGTACGCTTTGATTAATTTATGATTTAATTTATTTTAAAAGAACTTTTATATGATTTTTTTTCTTGTGTTATTTTGAAATAGTTTTACGAAAATACTATACGATGTTATATTTGTACTTCCATCTTCACGTACTTTCTAAATTTTAATAACTATTTGATTTTTATTTTTATTTTTTCAAACACATTTTGTTAGTCAATTCAACCATTACTTGGAAGAATATTTAAAGAAACAATTTTAAGAAAAATATCGTTTGTAAGTCATTTCAATGTTGTTCTGAATTTAAGTGCGAAAATTACAAAGGTAATAAACATTCATATTCTTATAATTAGTAATTGTTTACTCATTTATATTAATTAAATAAATCTATTATTTTTTTCTGCAGTCTATAACAAATCAAAATGTTATTGGAAAAATAATACAAATATTACATGTTGAATACAGGTAATGGATGTGCTCAGGGCCGTGCCTAAGGGGATGCGAGAGATGCGTGTGCACCGGGCGCCATTGACCAACGGGATTTAAACGGATTCCAAACGAATTTAAGTAATATTACTGTAAAATTCAACATCTTAATTATGTTAAAGGCTCTCTCCATGTTTACATATTATCATCTTTAGAAGTGTTTGTACGTTGTACATGTTGACAAAAATGTTTAATGTGAAAAATAAAGTAAATCTGATGAATCTGTCTCCGGCTCTCCAATAATGTTATGTAGACTTTTTATAAGTATACAAATATTTGGTAGAGGGTTGAGGGTGCTAGAAATGATTCTTGACACCGGGCGCTGATTATGCTAACACGGCACTGGGTGTGCTATATGTACTTGTATTACTAAATATGAAGCAACCGCATTCTATATTCTATTCGTTATATATAAAATAAAAGTATTGCATCGTGTATACTTGTTACAATTTACATATACCCATTTAGTCTTATACACGTTTTTGTTAGATCTAAAAACCAAAATTATTGGAGAGACACTGATCGCTAACCGCAAATTTCGATACTGATCTAGATGTGTGAATTTAATACATGCGTATTATATTACTGTCTACCTATTATCTATACTGTTATCGCTGTAAAAATTCCATGCACGTGTTGAGCCCTACCATATACATAGGTGAATATGTGAAACGTATACTTATTCACGTGAAACTATCAGCCAACCAAAACTTCCATAATAACGGATTTAGAAAATGTTACTGTCACATTGTTACGCAATGATATAAATAAAATTCGATATTTAAACAAAGGAATCATTATCAGTTTTGGGAATTACCTAAATAAATTATCTAGATAGATTTTTTGTCATCTTTTATCTTATCTACATAAATAACGCTAAGTTATCTAATTACTTATCTAAGATAAAATTTTTACTTATCTAGATAATTGTCTGTATTCTTGCCAAGATAAGAGTTATTTCTATTCTTGTACGGAGACGAATCCAACAAATCAGAGATCATCAAAATCGGTCCAGCCGTTCTTGAATTATAAATTCTGTAAATAATCTGACTTTCTTCTATACATGTAGATTTTGTATTCATATCATAATTCGTGTATTATTAATAATTATTATTTCTTGATATGACATTTTATTTAAATTTTCATGTCAAGTAAATATTTTTGGTATTTTTAAACTGAATTTCTTATTTTTCCACGGAAATTCCAAATATAATAGGTATTTGATTTTAGTAAAAACATGTCACTCATACTCAGCGTAGTCATTACTTCACTCTTGGAACCCATAAAGTCGTAACTACTTATAGAATAATGAAAATCATCAAATTAATATTATATGGAAAACAATATTATTAACTTAAAATAATTTTTTATGTATTCTGTATTCGTCTTGATACGTACAGAGCAATTTCATTTTTTTTTGTGAACATTTTAGTGACTATCATTGAATATTGTACATTATATATTAATACTGCTTAATGGTACACTACCTGCATTACTACAATAAAAATTAAACACCTAGGTACCTATTGATAATAATGATTATAATCGAGTTTTCATAAATATTATTAGAATATGAAATATTGATAACATTGATAATAACATTTTTTGAAAATATCTTTTTTTTTTATCTAGATAAAAATGAAATTATCTTTTATTTTTATCTAAATATTTTAATTTTTTTATCTATCATCTTTATCTAGATGAATTTGGACATATTATCTTTCATCTTTATCTAGATAAATTTTGCATTATCTATTCCCAACACTGATCATTATTTATAATATGATTTTTAATTATTTACACATAAATATAAGTAATGTGATGTTATAGCTATCAAACTGTTTTATCTGCATACTGCGTCTACTAGAGCTTTGATAATTTGATAACTTGTATATGCATATTCGTATAAATCGAAATAAAATTAAATAACTTTATATAAATCCATGTTAAATACTCATTTTTTTATTTCTAAATACAAGATGAGTATAATAAAATTTAATATGTGTTCAGAAACCTAATAACATAATGAATATTTTTCTTTTTCCATAAGACCCATAATAGTACTCAAATATTATAAGCATGGTTTAATATAATATTTTAGTTCTAATGATGTCAACGTCCCAATTTATTGTTCATCTTCGTCTCTCCCTCTTATGTACCCGTAATTATGAACAAAATTAAATGTACAAAAACTGCATCTGAAATTTGCCACACGTCTTGAAATGATACCACCCGAGGCTAGCACGTGCCCCTGCAGGCCCCAACTGAACACTTATCAGCGTATAACATACGATACATATTAAAATATAATTTGATTGTCGAGTTCGTCACGAGAATAAACATTCAAATCCTGCAGGCCACAACTGGCTGATCCTCGTCCGTCTTGCAAGGATTTCGACATTTCATACGTCGCGGTACGCCTACGCACAACGGGTTTTCACACATCGTGATATTGCGAACCCACACATATGCAAATGCGGTTTTTCACGAATATTTGCGTGTGCGGCGGTGACGGTGTTTCGTAATTTAGCTTTTAACATTTAGTTTTAAACAGTATAACTCTAACATTTATACATTGTCCCATAATTAAATAAAATCCAACTGGAAAGAAATTTACTTTACCTTACGACAAAGCCAAATCTGTAGTTTTATACTGATATGTTCATATGCTATATAGTACTTATGATGTATTAAATTTGGAGAAATCTCATGCAAAAGAAGTACTAACAAATCTATATTTTCATAAATTTGAAAGTATCAGCTTCAACCATAATTATTCTACTCGTCAAAATAGATTCAATGTTTTTAAATTAAATAAATATAATACGGAATTTTGGAAAAAAAGATCCCTTTAATATAGGTATATATTTATGTATGAAGTACGATATACCTATAAAACAATTATTATTTTACAATGATTATGAACATTATAAGAAGTATATTAAGTATAAGATGAAAACTTGTTTATAAAACCATCCATACATTTGTGCTGTACTTAAATATTGTGCTTTTCTTATAAATTATTGTTTAATTATTACTTATTTATTTGTATAAACTTAAGTTGAATAGTTTGATAAGAATTAAATGTAGTTGTCTTAAAATTGTAAACACACCTTAATTTTTTTTTCTTTCATATGGCGTCGCTTCTGGTGAAAACATACATAATTTAACTAAAAATATTAAACAAAAATAATAACAAATACTGATTGCACTAGCTAAATTAACAGAAACTCTATACATTAAATATATGGCGTCCCACATAACCTTAAAATAAGAACTGTTGTCTCCTTCACAAGTCTTGGCTTTTGGAGACAATCATTTAAATAATTTTTTTCAATATAATGTATGTAAAAAAATTTTCTTAAATGCAATAAAGTTTTTATTATATTATGTTGTATATTTTGGGCATTCGCTTTTCTTAGACATTTTTTTAACGTTTTTGTGCATTTTGGGGATTCAAAAACATGCATTTATCAAAACGATAATTAATTATTTTAGAATATTTTGAAAGTCCCCGCTACCGTTATAGTGGTGCTGCCATAAAGTAACAACATTATTATTCGTTATTCGATCAAATGATTTTTTAAATAATTACTATCGTTAGGGAACAAATTTTAAAAGCATTAATACATTATCAGCGCATATCTTTAGGTTTTGAAGTGCATACAAGTGCTTGATAGTTGAGTTTTTTTTCTTAGAGCTATTATACATGTCCTCTTCCCTATTAATAATAACTAGAGTATACGTCGATAGCCGAATAATAGCGCCGCGGATGTACTCGCGTACGTAACCGAAGGACTTTTGGCGGGCGGTACTGGCGCGCGGTCGAAGGGCGGCGAAAGAGTGCGTCAACCACGATTGGCCGGAGCAGCACCGATCCCTTTCTCGACCCCGTTCTCCGGCGCGAAGCCCTTTTCGCGTAAGCAGTCGTTTGTTTGCCGTACGTCGCTCACACCGTCGAGAAGTGTGTCCCGTTTTTAGCTTCAAATAACTACAGCACAACACTTAGCCACGCGAATCGTTACATATTATAACACGAACATTATATACGCCGCACGTCTACTATTCTGCCTGGTGCTCGAACCATCGATGCTGCTTGTCTAGTACGATAATACGAGAGAACGAATCCGTACGATAACATCGTCCGGATCCGCTGCATACGATAAATCACTTACGGGATCGATCTCCAGCCGCGTGTACGATATTAAATTTCTGAACACGTCCGTCGCGTTCCTAGTCGAGAACTTTAACGACAAAGTTCACGTGTGCGACGAATTCCTCGCAAACGTCAGGACGCGTTTACGAACGTTGCACCGCGAGGTTTTCGCGCCCACCGTCCGTATCAAAACACACGCACGGATGACTGAAGACAAAAATCTCACCCCGTTTTCTATAGCGGACATACTAAAATCCAACGACCAAGGGAATGGCGGAGGTGGAGGTGGAGTTGATGGACGTGACGGCGGTACAGGGCATCGCGCGAAAGACAACGAAGCATTGGATATGACCAACAATAAGATATGCGCTCACAAAAAAGGTAAGACTATAGTATTATAATGGGCTGTTTGTTTACAACAACGCGTATCGTTCCGTAAGAGACGGATAAACGAATGCTAATTCAATTTCAATTTGAACCAAAGAAGTTTTTTTGGAGCTACTAATGTTTTATTTAATGCATTGTTAAAAAACAAATGTAAGATTTCATTATTTTATATTCTTATATTTATACTATTGTAATATAAGTAAAAAACTATATATATAAATTTTATTACGGAAAAAGAAAATTCTTTAAAAATTATCAACAGTTGAATTTTCCGGTTTATAAATGTAACGTGCAAGGTGTATATAATGATAATAAAAAATTATGTGATTTTATTGTAGCTCTGCGATACTATCGACAACTCTGATGAATTTACGGAACAAGTAATACATTTTACTAACATTCATAATTTCGAAGAAAATTTAAATAATTTTAATAATTTTAAGAACCACAGAAATTAAATAAGATACGTCCAGGGGGTTGTATGGAAGCAGTTGATGAATTCCTTTTTTTATTCTTTGATACAATTCATTTGATCCCTATTTCATAAATAATTTATCAGCTTGAATATTATTAATTTAGTATCATATTTTTCTATGAAATCAAGAACTAGAAGAAATATTAATGAGAGTCGACTGCAATCTGTATTGTATCTATCATACAATTTATTTAAAAAGAGGCAATTTTTAGAAACTTAATAAAATTAAAAATATAGAAAAAATATTTAAAAAAATATTAAAATATAAATCATAAATAAATATAAATAATAAATATAATAATAATATCAAGGAATAAATTCAATAATATATAAATCTCATAAATTATCTATAAATTCTCAAATTTAAATATATTAAAAAATATATAAATTAAAATGATAATTATGTTTCCTGATGTAAAATTTAAATATTTTTCCAATTTTAAAAATTAATTGAAAATAAACCAAAATGTTGTAGCATTGTCAGAGCTCTTTTCGTAGCCAATTACTGGGGGATTTTTTTTTGTAGGTTAAACAATAGAAATTAACACATAGTTAAATACAATTACTAAATAAACGAATGGTTACTCAACCAAGAACTAGTAACATTACACACGGATCAATCACAGAATCAAAAGATACTACGAAGATCACTGCGCCTTACCAATCCCTTGTAAAACATGCATATAGGTAGCATTTTTTAAAATTTGTAACTCGTACTTATATAAATATTGGGTTCGTTTTGTGGCTATATATATCATCAAAACCGCACACTTACCGTTCATAACCGCACATTTTACATCGTTCAATACCGCACATATTTATTCTATTGTTAAAAAGGGAAATTTGAAAGGTCGGTAGTTCAAGACCGCACACATTTGGTTAACAGTTCCTTTCTCTCTACACACTTTGCATATACAGTTCACGTTGCCGGTTTCGTGTGAGTCCTATCTAACCTGGGACCTACTTGGGGTGATGTTACATATCAAATCGGGGGATATTTTTGTTTTTAACTGTCCGAGCGAGCGAATGACCCCACTCGGTCTCGAGGTGCACTCATGTTATTTTAGATAAATGTACAGTAAAACCTGTCTTATGCGGAATTGCACGGGACTAATAAAAATTTCCGTTTTAGGCAGGTTTCCTTATAACTGAATACAACGGAAAATTCCGTACTATACAGATACGATATACTGCACGATTAAAGTTGTAACATTTTCCGGTCAATAATAAAAATAAAAATATTAAAAATTAATTAATATCATAGGCTACAATAAATTTTAATTTTTAGTAAATAATTATAATAACAAGTATATTAATTAAATATTTAAAAATAATGATAAATGCGCGAAAAAATAAGCCTGTTTCATCGCAGTTATAGATACAATCACTATTATAATCTTTTATCAGCTCACCTATTTTTGATTTCCATTTATTTACTTCGTCAACATTGACATCATTAGATTCTCCACATACTTGATTCCATGAAATATTATGTCTTTTTCTAAAACATTCCAACCAACCGTTGGAACCTTTAAAATCGGTGTTCCCCAATTTAATCACGACGTCCTTAGATTTTTCCTGAAGCATTGGACCACTAATTGGAATGTTCTGAGATCTAGCTTTACCAAACCAATTCCAAACTGCTTTGTTGATTTCATCATTAACAGTCTTCTTTAAACTTCGTTTGCTTTTCCCATCTCCTAATAAGATTAATAAATATGACTTAAATAAAATGTAATTAATAATTTAATTATTTCATATGAACTTACCTTTTAACCATTCTTCTCTAATTTTAATTTTGTTTTTAATTATGTTATACATTTGCGTTTTCCTGCATTTAAAAGTATTCATTAATGATTTAACATTATTTCCTTTTTCACTTTCTTCGATTACTTTTATTTTTTCATTTAAACTTAAACAAATTTTAGACATTGTGAAAACAAGTAGGTACGACGATACGAAACGACAGGTGAACTTCGACTACGCCACTACGGTGACAATAATAAGCGCTAATTTATAGAATCAAGATAAAATTTAGTTATCTATCAATACGTATTAATCGCTGACCTTAAAAATTGTTTAGTAGCAAAATAAATGTGGGCATCAAAAATATTTTTGTTCATTTTATGATGTGTTTTTCCGTTTGTTAAAGGTTTATATGATTTACGGGACCAAAAAATAGCTTTCCGTTTTACGTTAAACAGGTTCCGTTTTATCAAGGGTTTAATCCTATGTTAAACTATAGAAATCTGCCGGGAACATAAAAAATTTCCGCACAGAACAGGATTCCGTCTTATCAAGGGTTCGCATAAGACAGGTTTTACTGTATACGTAATTGATATATATATATAAATTTGTACGGTATTGAACGGTTTAATTCAACGATAAACGCATATTTTACTTAGCATATATTTTTTTTTTCATGCTACATAATTTTTTTTGAATTATGAATTTTTTTCATAATAAATAAAACCATTCGCTCATTAGAATCAGTCGGTTAATTAACACATTTCACCTTGGTTTGAAAGTGTTCCTAATAACGGCTTTTACTGTACATACACTTCATCATCCAATATTTATTTAGTTTATCAATTGATTTATTTACGTTACTGAGTAGATTTACAACGATTTAAGTACCTCAGAACAACAATAAATGAAGATTGGGATCATTCATTAGAAATAAAATGTAGAATTGAAAGAGCTAGGGAAGCATTTCGAAAAATGTCGAAAGTATTCAAGTGTCATAATCTGTCTTTTGCTACAAAAATCAGACTGTTAAGGTGTTCTCTGTATTATTATATAAAGTCGAAACCTGGACATTAACAGAGTTAACATGCAAAAAAATTGAAGGCTTTGAAATGTGGTTGTATAGGCGAATACTAAAAATTTCATGGACAGATCGAGTTACTAACCAATTGGTACTGGAAAGGATGGGTAAACAGAAGGAACTGTTAACTACAATAAAAACTCGGAAGCTGGAATACTTTGGACACATTTTAAGAAATAATCAACGATACAATATACTACAGCTTATATTACAAGGAAAGATAGAAGGAAAAAGAAGTGTCGGAAGGAGACGTATATCTTGGCTGAAGAATCTCCGTGACTGGTACAATACAACATCAATTGATTTATTTCGGGCATCACTTGACAGAAATATCGTAGCCAATATGATATCCAACATCCGGAACGGATAGGAACTCACAGAAGAAGATTAGATTTAATTAATTCAAAAATGTATAGTATATTTAAGCATTTAAGGCTTGGTTACCTAAGATATTTAAAATATTATCGAAAAAAAAAGATGAAAATTAAAACGTTTTGGTGTAAACATATAATTTTTAGCTTGAGAATAAATAAACATTATTAGAGATCAATATGTAAGAATTAATGAAACATTTTGTAAACGTATATATATATTAAGTATAGAAATAGTTTACTTTCAAAATAAATCAATATTTTGAAATGAAAGTTATTGGTGATACTTAAAGTTATTTTTGTCGATTTAAAATAGTTTTTATACGAAAAACTTGAATTACAAATATTCCTATTTATTTTATTTTTTTTTTTCCAATTAGTGTATTTACTAATCCATTGTGAGCGATTACTGCAAAATATTAAGTAGTTTATACTTATAGAAATATGGCCAAATTTATTGTTTTTTTTTTTTTTGAGTTTTCTTATTAATTTTATACATTTTAATTATAATTTGTTAAATTCTTTAAAAGTTCTAAGTTTGTAACCATATACCATAAAAAAATCTTTATAATCCTCTAAATAGTGGCCATCCTTGAATAATGGACGTGTTTTGGTTACAGTGATCTGATGTGCTTAAATATCTCTGAATAACGGACAGCTATATATAGAATAACATGGACTAATTTTAGATATTTATGTATTTATGAAAATTATAGTAATCTATATAACTTAATGACTTTCGAGTTAAAAAAATTCAAACCAAAACCATTCAATCATTTCGTTAAGTCACATGTAGATCTATTACACGAAAGTGGTTTTCTGAAAAAAAATTATAAGTTCCGTTTTTTTCTCATCTTTGTAATCGCTTTTTGTAAAATATTCTTTTTTTTAATTAATTTTTTTTTTTTAGGGTAGCGGCCTTTTTGACCAGCCCTCCAAGTATATACTCCTCCATCTATTTTTATCCTCCGCTGCTTCCCTTCATTACAAATCAGCTTCTATCCTTCCGAAATCTTTAATAATACAATCTTCCCATCATAAGCGAGGTCTACTTAAGGGTCGTTTTCCTGCTGGGTTGTTTTCGATTACGGTCCTTATAATTGATCCCGGTTTTCTCCATGCATGCCCTACCCATCTCAGTCTTTTGACTGGGATTTCTTTTGTGATGTTAGAACTTTGAAAAAGGTTTTATCACTAATTACTGTTTTCGATGCTGACTTGATCGTGATTTGTATAGCTTTCCACCTTGTCTAGTGTGTTCATCATATAGGATTTATCTTGCCAATTTGACTGCGCAACTCATCCTTAAAAGCGTTACAAGTATTTGATCGCCAAGTTTGAAAATATTGAAGTTAACTAGAGTCGTTTCCTCCTATTTCTTTATTTTTTGATTTTAGTTTCATTTTGACTTTTACTAGGTAATGATTGGAGTCGCGTCCGCTCCTCTGACCGTTCTTATATCTTATATGCAGTTGCCAAATCTCGAATTTATTAATACATGATCAATTTGATTCGCATATCTCCCATCGGGTGACCTAATTTCCTTGTGGATGTTTTTATGGTAAAACATAATACTTTTTACTATAAGAACTTTCCCTGTTGCTAGGTCAATAAGTCTAAGACCATTATCATTTGTAGATTATACGAACCAATTCGGTTGGTTTGAATGCTGTCCCCTTTCCTATCTTTTAATTAATTTGTCAGCTCAATTTTCAAAAACTTACATAGTTATTATCTTATCTATCCACCCCGATATCAAACACCTCTCAATAACGGTTAATTCTATTCAAAGGCATCACAGTAAAATAATATCCATGAATCAGTTGTATCTTTCTGCAGCATCTATATGTAAGCATTATGACATTTAATAATATATTATAGCTACTGCATGATTGATTATGGTATTAAATACTGGGAGTCAAGTTAAATAGGGTTTTTTTTTTTTAATGAATAATGTAACATAAAAATAATTTTAACGTATGTATAGATAAGAATAATGAAAGTTTAATTGAGAAACAAAAATCGATCGTGGGAATACTGCCACGGTCTAGCAGGAATGATGCTCACGCGGGTGTGTTTGAGCGTTATTAATCGCCACTTACACCGCCGTGGGTGCGTGTACCAATGGCTATTATATTATTATGTTGTACATATTAATTTATACACCGAGCATCATTATGTACAATAGAAGTCTTGATGGCCCCCAACAGTCTCAGTCGAGATACCGGATGACTGCTACTGCTGTAATCATAAATACAATATTATGATAATATTATATAATAGTATTTTTCTAGCCCTCCCAATCACTCGTTCTCTATTGTATAAGACGACACGGGTGGGTAAAACCTCATTCTCTTTTCAGTCGAATTTCCGTTTTACTCCTTGGAGTACTCTCTCTCTCTCCTTCTTGTGTACTCACGTGATTATCCACTTGAACGTGCACCCGTCGCGTACATATAAGTAATAGATACTTAAGTAATGAATGGACCCTACCGTTAATAATATGCGTCCGAAAACAGAGCATGTTACCATATAATAGCAGTGGTTATTGAAGTATGATTATCATAAAATAAAAAAATTTAAAAATAAAACTATTGCAATTTAAACATAACTATGCTGTTACTAAAATTAATGTGTAAGTGGATGCTTATATGTCTATATTCTTCAATGTTAAATTATAAATTAGTTAATATTTTTTTTTTTACGTTATCGTTTATCAATAACCTATAATCGCGGAACAATATATCATATTCAGTGACCATTGCAAACCACTGTAGTATCTAGCATTCTTCCATCGAGCACACTACACACGTTCCATGTATTAAGTATATAGGAAAGGCCCATACATTTCTCTGTCTGTGTACATTAGAGTAGTGGTGGATCCTGAGAGGAGGGATTATTAGGCCAGGACGAAGCGGCGGTGAGCAGGGTCGATTGATATTGCCCCGAAGGTAAACAAAACGCGCGACGATCCAGCCGAGCTGCGGAAGCCAGGACCCATCGGGCGCAAACAAACGGATCACATGAAACAGACGTTTTGTTTGGAAGTCAAGTGATGCATTAACGCGGTGAGTGCTCCTTGCCCGACCCCGCGCCACGCCGTCGCCGTTATATACGTACTTATATGTATATTATATCTGATTACCGACCACGACAGCTTAAATCAATTAGAAAAAGAGCGGCCGCGCGTCGAGTGTAAACATTGCGTTTTGTGTATACATTGCACATACACACATATACGTATACACTACAAATACGGCATGATTATTATTATATACACCGCCCGATTGAAGCCGTTGAGTATTTAGATTAAAACCATTATGAATTAGAATTTACGTAGGTTCGGTGGTGTAAATTGAATTTACTATGATATTAACCGTGATCAGAAAATGTCGAAAACGTGGATGTGAAAATCATACGTGTATGGTAAAGCTAAAAAATTCCGTTCCGTTACTGCGATCGTTTAAATGTTGTTGTTATTCGAGTGCTACACATCAAGCCGTTCTATTGGACCGACAAGTACGTCGAATCTGTTTGAATTTGACGCAATCACGGATATTTCACGTGGTAAAAATACGTTTAGCGACGAATAAAACCGATAAGACATTCAATCTTGGATTCGAACTGGGCAAGATCCATTTCGAAACGATGACGATCGTTGTTGACGTTGTGTTCGGTGGTAAACCGGGGTGAAAGCATTATTTTCATACCGTGCGCGGAACAAAAGTTATAAAAATGTTTTTTCCCTTCGAAATCGTAGTAGCTACTATAGTATATATATATTTTGAAAACGACGTCCGGGCGCCCGTTAGACAATTAACGAAAATAAAAGAAAAACACACCTTTTCACGGGGAAGTCTTGTATGTATGTGTATGTATACGAACGAGTATATATAATGCATATACTCGTATATATTCGTTTTGTACGTACGAAAAATTAACCGCATCCATTAGTGTACACGTATATACATGTGGCACACACGTAGAAAGAGTTCGGGCGACGCGTGCTATACGCGTGTCAAGGTAAAAGCCGATTTGGGCAACTGCAGTACAAGTGGTGCAAGTGTCACGTCACGTCGTTTGTTCGTGCAGGAAAGAAAGAAAAAGGAAAAAAAAACCTTTTAACGCTATTAGCCACCGCCGTTGTTCGCGACTCCCGTGGTGGCACCGGCTTGTACGACCGTTTCCGCAGCGGCTATATAGGTACGCCTTTTCCGTCAATCACGATAATAAAAACACGTATACAAATGATATCACGAGCCGGCGACACTTTTTCCTCACGTACCCATCTACAATGGGTATCGTTCACGAGTGAGTCCGCAGAGTGACACTAAAACACTACAAAAAAATAATGATAGCGTTACAAGCATCTTCGTCCATACAATAGCGCATAATCATTGCAGACGGTGTTGTGTTGTGTTGTGTTATGTAAAATAAATGAATAGAAAATAAGTTCACGTTAGACGCAAAATTAATTTTTGTTTGCAACTGTTAAACGAATTACGAGTAAATTCTCAATGTATTTCGTCGCGAACATGGATTTGGTCGAACTTTAAGGTTTAAAATGACATGAAATACTTCATAGATAGTCACCGACAGGCAAACGCAGGAAAAAAATACTGAAGAGTGGGTTGAAAAAAATGTAAAATTTAAAATGTTGATAAACAACGTGCTTTATTATTCATTATATAATATATATAATTAAATATTTTGTTTGCAAGTCTCATGGGAACTATTAATTTTGTAGGTCAAGTCATTTTTTTTTATAAAATTGTTTTCTGATATTTTGGGAGATGGGAGGGTTGACGCCTGGCCACTGAATATGTTTTGACGGATATTGTTTACGGTGTTTCAGAAGACCTTAAGTTCCAAGACATCGAATACCGGAGAAGAATCGAACTGCTGGGCAGCGGAGACTTTATATTTAATCGGACGGGAGACCATCGGAGTGCCCTTTCGCGATTTCTACGGACTCACAGCGAGAGACCACTGCACATCCAACAACGAAAAAAACGGTCCCGAGCTGCTTTTTCCCATTCACAGGTTAACAACTTAATTCAGTAGAACCCTTCTAATCCGTCACCTTTGGGACTGGGGGTGTGGTTGGAATGCGAAAAAGGTCGGATAATGAGAATATAAAGAAACATTTGAAGACAAAATGTTACCAAATTTATTTATTAAATTATTTTAAATACTATTTTTAATTACATACATATATTAAATAAAATAAATAATTAAATAATAAAATAAATAAAAAATTGAAAAATAGTAAACGGGCAATTAATTTTATAAATATATCTAGCCACATACTATAAATTGGAAAATCCATATTCATATCGATAATATTAGTCGGATCAAACAGAGTGGCGGACTAGCCGAAAGCGAACGAGAAGGGTTCTACTGTAGTATACTTATCCACACTTTCAACCCGACTATCTTTCGAATTTATATAGCGTGTAACATAGGTGGAACGCTAAAATGCAATTCTAAAATGTAATTCATGTATGGTTTATTTATGACAGTAGCAAGTAATCTCAACTTTACCACATTTCTATTTTACGATTACGTTTTTCTTATGTGTGAACCATAATTTTTTATACGAGTACTTGTAGTAGATTAATGCAATGTGTTTTAAATCCAACACTGCAATTTAAAATTGTTTTCATATGCATATGTATAATAACAAAATTATTTTATACTCAATAGTTCAGTTAAATTGAAAAATCGAAAAATCTATTATGGCATGGAAAATAGGGTTGAAGTATTTTTTTATTTAGTTTTGTTTTTGCACGATAAAATCGTCTATTTTAACGATTTATTAATTAAATTGTTTTACCGTGAGTTGATCATTAGGACGTTTCGTGAGGGTTACTTTTGTTTAGTGACATCAAACTCAAGGTAACGCATTCTGGGCGAAATAAAGACTTAACGAGTTAAAAATGAAGTACGAGCTAATATATTTTTTAAATAACTCTCAATTTACCGAGTTTATTAATTTCCATGGTATTCAGCTGATTGATATTCGTATTGAGTTTTTTTCCTAATTTAAATTCCAAAAATTTAACATATAAAATATATTTTATTGTAAAATTTATTGTTTTTACCAAAAATAATCGGTATTATAATCGCGAAAGCGTTGAACGCACTGTTCCTGAATTTCAATGGGAATCAAATAAACGCACACAAATATAACTTTATATAATAAACAAAATATAATCGAGTTAAAAAAAAAAAATCGCCTATCCTTTACTTAGTTAAGTGTTATTTTTTCTACTCAACTTGTAACTTGAATAAAATTACTACAAAGAGAATTCGTTTTTAATTCGGTACTTAACTTACAAGTCTCATAGGTAAACTAAACAAGTCATCAAAAATGTAACCTACCCGACCAGCGTCGCACAATAGTTGGCGGTATAACGATATCGAGCCTGGACGCGTAAACTTCTGTTTCGAATAATAATAATCTAATTTTTTGTTGGCAACGTTCGCCGTACGGGCATGTACCAGTTGCCCCCAAAAGTACCTTTTTTTATACCTATTCCCCCCAAATTACCTAGAGCAAAATGTACCAGTTGCCCTCACATGTTAATATATACACGATTAAAATATATATCCTATAAAATAGGGGAGGTAAATATACAAATAATAAATAAAATTATTTATAAAAATAATATAAAATAGTATGAAATGATAAAATCAAATTTTGATATTTGCAATTATATATGATATTGTATTTTGTAATAAATAATAAATATAATATATTATACAAATAGTATGGATAAAATGAAAATTGTATTAATAATAATAACCTATTACTAGGTGCAAAGCCAGGATTTTACAAAAACGTAAATTTAGACGCGTCTAAGTGGATAGCCGATTTATAACGGTATTAACGTCAATTATATTACGCTTTATCGGAATACGCTAGTTATTATCATTTATTAAACCCATCTTTATTAGTAGTTTTTTTTTTTTTGTAAGAAATTATTAAATGATACGATGTATACGTCTTTGATAGGTACATTTTAATAGACGAAAAGCACTGACGTTGTTAACACGATGGAAAATATTACGCGAATGTATAGTGAAAAGGGCAATGTTTTGTTAGTTTTAAATAATTATATTTTTTATAAAGATCGCATTACACAAGCGGGTGTGAAATGGCGATGTACATTAAAGTCTTGTACATCAAAGCTGTTTGTGAGTGAAGATGAAACGGTGATTTTAAAATCTGTTATCGAATATAAACATTCACCGCGTAAAAATTTAACAAAAATAACCATTTCTAATAATTTAAAACGCAAAGCTGTGGATCATATTTCTAAATGCCCATTAAAGTTAATACGTGAAGAAGTTTAATTATTCATAAATGTCATGGATGTAACATCAAACGATGTAAACTCCATTCGCAGAAGCATTTATCGTGCGAGAAGAAAATCACTTCCACCACTACCTTAATCTATTTCTGAAGTTCATTCAGCATTAACACTATTACAATTAAATACTTACAAAGGTGATAATTTTCTATTATATGAGAACGAGACGGAAAATATTGTATGCTTTACGACAGAATCAAATTTAAAATTTTTATGTTCCCGAGACAAAATTTTTATAGACGGAACATTTGAATACTGTGCAAAATTTTTTTTACGACTTTTTACAATACACTGTGTCAAAAATGAACATTATATTCCATTAGTATTTTCATTACTGCCTAAGAAATCATCGAAGACGTACGAATTATTATTTAATATGTTAAAAAAAAAAAATGCTCTAGCTTTGAACTTGAATTCAAGCCGTCAATTATTGTATCCGATTTCCAACAAAGTATTCATGTAGCTTCCAAAGTTGTTTGGCCATTAATTACAATCGTGGGGTGCAGATTTCATCTAACTCAGTCATGGTGGAAACGCATACAACTATTAAGATTAAAGTCGGATTATATAGATCCAAAATCAGAAATTGGAAAATGGCTTCACTTAATTTTCGGTCTCTCATTACTACCCTCTAGTGAAGTAGACGATTGTTTTGTTGAAGATCTAATGTCAATTAAGCCTTTATCAGAAAAATTAATTGAATTTTTTGACTATTTAATTGACACAAATATTTCCTCAAGTTCTACTCTTCCACCTGCACTGTGGGTTATGAATTCAATTGATTCAGAAAGGACTACAAATGCATGTGAATCATTTCATTCGTCATTTTCGAAGAACTTTAGTAGTGCACATCCAAACATTTTTATTTTTTTAAATGTTATAAAAGAAGTACAAACAAATACGTACATTGCTATAAGCAGTGTAAACGAAATTAAAAATAAAACTAATCACACATATTTAAACAAAAAAGTCAGAATAGAAGATTTTATAAATAAATATAAAAACAAAAATATTAGTAGATTAGATTTTGTAAAATCTGTTAGTAATTATTATAACAAAACATAATACATAATTATTATATTTAATTTTTTTTTTTTTTTTTGACAAATTATACCACATAATTATTATAATATTTATTATTTTATTAACTTTTTCATAATATATGATGTATACTACAATTTATTATGAATTTTTTATTTTTATCGTTATGATTTTCATTTTATCCATACTATTTGTATAATATATATTATATATTATAATTTATTACAAAATACAATATCATATATAATTGCAAATATCAAAATTTGATTTTATAATTTTATACTATTTTACATTATTTTTATAAATAATTTTATTCATTATTTGTATATTTACCTCCCCTATTTTACAGGCTATATATTGTAATCGTGTATATATTAACATGTGAGGGCAACTGGTATATTTTAAAAATCCCGATAACAGCCGTGGGGGGGGGGCAACTGGTCAACACCCCGCCGTACTGCGTTCGCAGATAAATAATACGACGTTTCGTGTTCACGGTGCGCAGGTGTTCGAGCTGGAACGGCGTTTCAACCAGCAGCGTTACCTGTCGGGGCCGGAACGCGCGGACTTGGCGCACTCGCTGAAGCTGACCGAGACCCAGGTGAAGATCTGGTTCCAGAACCGGCGGTACAAGACCAAACGCAAACAGTTGCAGGTGCCAACGGTTGCGGCGGGCGAGCACCGGACGTCCGGCGGCGGCGGCAGTTTGCCGGCCAAAAGGGTCGCGGTCAAAGTGTTGGTCCGGGACGAGTGTTCCGAGAAGGCGGCCGCTGCGACGGTGTACCACCACCAACAACCAGGCAGACACGCGGTGACCGGAACCGTAGCAGCGGCCGCAGCGGCAAGCGATTACCGTCTGTTACTGCAACAGCAGCAACGGAATCATCTCATTCGTGGCGTCGGCGGCGGCGGCGGCGGCGGCGGCGGTGACGGTAGTACTGAACTCGGTAGTGCTGAACTCGTCGGTACCACCGGTTACCTGGGTTTCGGTAACGGGTTGCACTTTTCGACTTCAGCCGCCACCGCCGCCGCCGCCCCGTATTACTGTTACCAGTACGCGCCGGTCATGGCGTACTTGCACGAGCCGGGCAGTCGGGTGTCGTCGACCACCACCGACGACCAGGACACGTCCAACGACGGCACCGAGTGTTCCATAAACATCGTCGACGAGTGTCCCACGTCCACCACGACGACGGCCTCCGAATGAACACACTCGTGATACGCACATCGCGTTGCCGCGGCAACGGTGAAAACATCGAAAGATTACGTTGCACGTACGCTCCCACCCCGCTCCTCTACCCCTCTAATCCCGGAGTAACACATGCGACGAGTACGCGTATTTATTTTGTTTTCGTAATCCCTTCCGAATCGCACGCTACTCGTTTTGTCCACGACCGATTTTCATGCGTACGTACGTGTGGCACGCCGGCGGTCATCAAAACCGCACACTTACCGTTCATAACCGCACATTTTACATCGTTCAATACCGCACATATTTATTCTATTGTTAAAAAGGGAAATTTGAAAGGTCGGTGGTTCAAGACTGCACACATTTGGTTAACAGTTCCTTTCTCTCTGCACACTTTGCATATACAGTTCACGTTGCCGGTTTCGTGTGAGTCCTATCTAACCTGGGACCTACTTGGGGTGATGTTACATATCAAATCGGGGGATATTTTCGTTTTTAACCGTCCGAGCGAGCGAATGACCCCGATCGGTCTCGAGGTGCACTCATGTTATTTTAGACAAATGTATACGTAATTGATATATATAAATGTATGCGGTATTGAGCGGTTTAATTTGGGCGAAAATATGTGGGATTAAGATAAAAAAGTGTGCGGTTATGAACGACGCATTGGGCACGCCGTATGGTTCGCACCCGACTGCGGCCGGGCGTAGTTTATTTAAACGACTTCCTTGTCGACGTTTTCAAAATATCGAGAATTACGATGGTACGCGATAATAACGGGTTCTTTTTCGGACAGGTCTCCGCACGATGAGCGTAAGCAAACTATATTAATCGCGTCGAATATTCTAAGGGTTGTGCGACGAAAAAGTAACAAATAGATGATTATTAATAATAATAATAATTATTATTAATAATGATAATTTGTTATTAATAAATAACAAATAGATGATCATTCGAGTATAGTAACAATAGTTTTACCGCACTGTTAAATTGTTTTTACTTTTAGAATATTCGGTTAACTTAATCGATTGTACTTATATTTTTCATAATACTTGATAACTATAAACTACACTTAACTGTTTAAAACAATATCAATTTTAATTATATAGGCTTATAGATAGTATGATTAAATAGACGTGTAAAATAATTTTAGTAACCGTTTTGAAATTTATAAGTGGATTTAGATTAGCAAAAAAACATGATATTATATACATACCATAAATGTATTTATTTGTATATTTGGTAAGTTAATAATTTCTTAAATAATAAGCACTTATGTATTATATAATTGTTATAGTTATATAACTTGGAGAATATTATAATTAAATGTATTATTTATTAATTATTGATCTCAGTAATTTACCATCGTTATGTTTATGTAAAGTCCATATTCTTTCAAAATTATTTAAATTACAACACTACACCGTCCACCGTAATAAACACTGCGATTTACTTAAAATATATACGAAATGTTTATACAAAACAATAATAAGGCTATGTGTGATATACAATAAAAAATAATAAAAAAATAATAATAGTCAAGGGCAAGAAATGAAAAAAGATTATTTTGAATACCGTATTTTTTTTTTATTTTTTTCGTTTCCCATCTAAGGGCTAATTAGCTATAGAATTTATTGGAATATACGTTGTACGCTACGTTTCACTAAAATTATTCAGTTTACCCATTACGTATGTCACGCTGTACTAAGTAACAATATTATCCGCGCGAACGGAGTATGAGTAAATTTATAATATACCTAAAAAATGAATTGATTACCTACTGTATAATATAACGAGAAGGTACTCATGATTAGTATGTTAATAGTTCTTAAAAGTAAAAGTAATAATTATTATAATATGGGTAGATGATTTACTTACTTTTGGCTTGAATCGGTGGATGTGTTTCAGAACGTTGCGTATTACACATTTTACTGCAGTCTGCACTTTGGTCATTTATTTTTTTTCTTTATAGCGATTTGATCGTCACTGTCACTCATGTTTAAACTTGAAAGGATATTATCATCGCACACTAATAATATCGAAAAGAAAGTTAGTATTTATTATGAAAACAAACGGAAGATGTTATTCCATACTATGAGGACAGTACATAGATAACAGGTACGACAGCATTATAGAGTAATTATCTACACTGCGATTATTTTGGATTACTTTTACTGATAAGCACCACGCTACTGCCGTCGCGCTACAACAATGGCAACAGCAACGACGAAAGTGGGGACGTCATATCGTTGTACTTTGGACCGTCACAGCATCACGACATCGTATAACCAAGGCACGCCAGTAAATGTTTCACATCAAAAATGATCTGAAAAACATCTTTAGACTTACGTATAAGATAGTATACCTACACGACCATCGGCGTGTTTATGGGTGAGAATGGGGGCAGCTGCCTCTCCATCAACTTATTGAATGGTCTTACAATTGTAGTAGTATATATTAAAATAATACAGACCCACTCCCATAACTATTTGGCTGCATATGTCATACAAATTTTTTTGTTCTCCCCCAACATTTTATATCTGAGCACTGTCCAGAGTTTTGTTAAACTTCAAAAATTTTATCAAAATTATTTTTAGTTAATCTTTAAAATATGATTGATGATTGATGTTTACAATCAACTATTGTTATACAAGTAGTCTTTATGATAAATTTTTTTAAGATTTGATTTATAAAACCGCCCTAAATTTTCGGTCGTACTTGTTTATTTGAACACCTTGCACACCGGGAGATAAGTATTTCGCGCCAATTTTATTGTAATTTGCGCCACCAATAGATACATTCAAGCGCGTATGTAATTTGCGCCAAAATATAAAAATTAAAAATGTATTTTGCGCCACGCTTTCAACTTTAATTGTTGGAATTTACCAGCAGGTACATTTACTGATAATACATTGGAAATGCGATAATACCAATGCGAACTAATAATAATAAGTAGAGGCGAAATCGAATAGGTACGTCTAATATAATAAAAATTATCAATGGTCATAATATCGAATAATATTGAACAGCAATATATTGATATTTACAATTAGTCCGATATTAATCGTATGTGCGTTCATATTTCATATTTCACATTTCAAAATTATATAAAAGTATAAGTAATGGATACAAATATCGATGAAATTATTAAAAGTACTAGAGACAAAGATTTATTATTTTTTAAAAATGTTACGTATCGAAAAGTTTATGAATCTAAAAATTGTTCAATGCGATGGCTTTGTACCTACTGTCAGAACTTGCACTACAAAAATGTACATATCTTCAGAAAATATTGTACAAATAGTTGAAATTGTAAATGAACATAACGGGCATGATCAACCAAGTATACACAGAAAAATATATTCAAATGAATGTAAGAGAAAAGCTATGTAAAATCTGTATACTAAACCAAGTAAGATATTACGAACAGAAATTTCTGAAAATTAATCTAATTTACAAACCATTACTACTGATGATATATCATTAGTTCGACGAAATATGTATAACACCCGTAGAAAAATGATGCCACCATTACCAAAAACAATGGAAGAATTGCCAAAAGCTATAAACAATTTTCTATTAAAGTGAACATAATTGGCCAGTGTAATGGTTAAGAATACAATATTTTAGTCTGTTTAAAAAAAATTATTTAGTAATTTTAAAATGGTGCAAATTACATTTTTTGTAGGTACACGATGGCGCAGATTACTTAATGCCCTTTTATTTAGTATTGTGAGGCATAAATTACAACTTTAAAAAGTAGCGCAAATTACCAAAATTAATATTTAGATGTGGTGCAAATTACATATTTATTTTTTTGGGGGGGTTGTTTTTGGCAAATTACATACGCCCTGCACACCTGGTTAACCTGTTGAAATATTAAACAATTGAAAGTGTTTTTGACTAATGATAATTGATATATAAAAACGAAGTTCTTAGTTAATGATATTAAAACACTGTGTATCTCACGGGCTATCATAATAGTCGGTTATCTACATTTTAGACGTTTACATTTATACGTAAAAAGTTTTAGGTGTTCGCAATGTTGTAACACGATAAATGAGTCACAATTGTTAGGTAGGAGGTGTACACAAATGTATGTAAAAAAAAACTAAAATCTTACAATTAGCCTCCCTAGCCATGGAGGACACGCCCATGCCTACGGCGATCATCGCCAATAACGTGCACAATTGCAGCGTAACGGAGGTACGACACGAAATTTCGTTTTTCGCGATTACCCATATATGTAACTCGTAAACGTCAACATTGGTGTTTACGCCGATTGTTATTCATTTGGTTTACGCGTAACGATAGAAATAACATTTTAGCATGTTATGAACGCACAAAGCGCGTTCTGTGTCACCCTTGAATGAGCTAAGGTGTTAAAATTACAGTCCTTGTCCACCAGGGCCTAAAATAGTGTGTACCCTGACATATAGTGTGTACTCTGAAAATTAAAGTGTGCAGTCTGAATGACAAATGTGTGTACCAAGTTTTTACACTAGTGACTAGAATAAGAAATTATTGATGAAATAACAATGAAATATTAAACATAATAACTGTAATATAAAATACCCATGTTTTTCCTATCACTTATCAGCTATCTCAATTAATATTGATAATAGTCATGGAATGTCTCACAGAGTAATAAAACTATTAATATATATTAATAGCACAGCTGAAACTGCCTATTATATTATTATATTCTATGGTAAAATCATAGAACGCGTGTTTGATAACAATTTATACGATAAAAATCCCATAACAAAAACAAATAGATTTTGGGTACTAAAAAAGTGTGTACCCTGAAATTGGATATATTTTAGACCCTGTTGTCCACTAATCATCCACAACACGTCCGGAAATTGTTAACAGCACCCGGAGATTACCGGGAGAACTCATCGGGTTCGATTCGGACGTGTCGACTGTTTCGCACCCATATGCTGTCGGAGAAACGAAACGACGGACCGCAATCATCGACGAATAAAAACAAGAGTATTTACTTTAACATTTTGTTCTACGCCCGTAGTCAAATGTGTATCAATCGAATGTTGATTGTTGACAAATTCACGTTTAACATAACGAATCGGGATTCTCAACATTTGCATCCGACTGTAAAATGTTGAACCAATTAACGCTCTTATGCAACGGATTCCAAATGATATTTCAATCGAGCATTTAAATCGGGGACTCGAAGTAGATTGACTTTTTACAGGTTCCGGTTACCAGCTTCACGTATTTGTCAGGTTTCTGATTTCGGTTCATGTCGTGTTTCAAATATTTGCCGGATACCCCGGGTTTCGGAACCGGGTTGTGACCCGTTCCGACTCCTTGGTTCAGATGTAATTATTGAAATACTATATATACGATTTCAATATCAAAAAGTTAATTAAATCCGGAAAGGAAAAAATTCATTACTTGCCGGTTGGGTTTTATTTATATACATTTCACAATTACTCGTTTACACTGGCGTTTGAAAACCGAAAACGGTAATGTTTTGCAGTCGATTTATGTTCACATAAAACGCATAAGGTGTCCCATATGGAGGTAGTGACGGATCCGCAGTTCATGATTTTTTGTTGAGAAATATGAAACTTTTAAACCAAATATATTCATCGGAAAAATATCTGTCAAAGGATTCAAAATATATAATAATAAATAACCAAGCATCAACTTCAAATATAATTTAAATCATATTAATTTATATTATTAACAGTTAATACTAATAAATACTAAAATATATTTATAACTTGTACAATTGTGATCCAAAAATGTTTATTTATAATAAAAAAAATTAGTCTCGTATTTTTGTATTTTAAATCTGGTCACCCTAAATCAATTTAATTGACAGCCAAAAATGAAACCATTTGAATTTTATCAGTTACGAAAATGGATTGCCAGTCATTATCAATCATGCAAATACATGATTAGCCTTGACTGACAATCACGTTCATTGTCATTTACTGACCATGTACTTTAAAGATTATTGTAATTGTAAGATTTTAATCATATACGGCCGTCGATAACAGTTGTGTGATAAAAGGATTAATACTACTTTACCGACAACATGGTCGTGGTCGAAGCTACTTAAACCACATGAATTATCATTATCACAACAATTCACTTTTTATCTGTGTTGTTCAATTTCTTTTTACATTCGTTTTTATAGCGGTACACAGTACGTTTTTTTTAAAAGTTTTATCTCCCTGGCGTTAAGCACTCGATTCCCAAGTATGCAAAACCTTTGCAAAACCGAACTGCTTTTCGGCACGTTGTTGTGCAAGACCAAGGCCATTAACCAGCAGCCGATCAGATACACCAGGAAGCCCAGATGGTTGCCGAAAGCACCGACGAAAATGTTTCGCGTACCCGTTCGGCCGCGAATCGCCGTTGAAGAAAAGAACGAATTGTTCCAACTGTTCACCAACTACCGGACCACCATGAAGTCCATACAGTGATTACAATAGTGTTAAATAAGTTACTTGCTATTTAATATATATTACTTGCTTGTCTTTTCGCGAATCATTGTGCATGTCCTTTGCTCCTCCACCTGTTACAGGAAACAGTTAGAAACCGAGATGGAAACATCATTCACGGGTCATGAGGTGTTGCAAGAAATCGCAAACAAGGAAGAAGCGTTGTGGTTGAAATGCATAGCCATCAATGATGAATGGAACACTGAAGTGGCTATGGCCAGAGACAAAAGGATGGCTATAGAATGTGAAGCCGAGCGAGAAATCATCTTGGCGCGGTTAATTGAAACCGAAGAGCTAAAGAAGCTAAAACATGAAGAGATTGAGCAAATTATCAGACTAGAAAAAGTATATATTTAGAGTAAAACTATTTTTCGCAGAGTTATTTACCAAATCGTCATTTTCATGTTCTTTTAGGAAAAATCAAAATCTTATATTACCGCTGACAACATAGATGAAGCTATTAAAAAAGCATTAGATAATGTGGTTGATCACAATTATGCTTTGGATTTAGAGGGTAATATTTGCCATGGCAACAGTTTAAATAAACAATTTTTAGGAAAAAATTCACACCGAGTGCAAATTGGTTCAATTAACTAATTATGTATTCAGTTTACTTAATATTATATGTATATATTTTTTTTTATTAAGAGTTACATTAAATTGTTAGAACATTTTTTTTCATTTAGTTGCCTAATTGTAATGAACATTGTCCTGTGATGCTATGACCAATAAGAATGTTAGCTTAAATTGTTGCTTCAACTTTTTTTTATAAAACTATGTATTTATTTTTTTTGTGTATTACAAGTATGGACTAGTTGATGAATTTCTGGAAGAATCACACTTGGAATAGTTGTTGATTTGATCACTATCAATATATTCATATTTTGTTGTATTATTTCATTAAAATTGTCTTCAATTTTATGCATCAGGCTTGTAATTATTTTAGGTTATAATTTACATTTTAATTTCTGTGATAATCTATCAAACGTTTTTTTGGGCTTAGTTCTTATCTAAAAGCTTTACCATTTCTTCATAACAGTTCAAAGGCATTATATCAATCTTTTGAATTTAAAATAAATTTATTTAAATATATTAATATGGTGTATAACCATTGATTAAATATACATTTATAATAATAATAATAATAATAATAATAATAATAATAATAATAGATACATTTGGACATAATATGAGTGGAAATTGAGAAATAAGAAAATGCAATTTGTGTTTATATTGAACTTTTTTTTTTATTATTTATGTTGGCGCCGAGAAAGCCGAAGGCATAAAACTCGCTCAGAAATAAAATTATAATAAAAATAAACACTTATCTTAATTATAATAATAAATGTTCTTACCGCATGGCTTCAAACTAGCAATTACCGGCGGACGGAATAATAATACAATTTAATAGAGTACTGGCCGCGGTGAAATAATAAATAGATACCTAATATGTAATAACATTACCACATCCATGCGCGATGCCATCACGTGTCGCCTCTCGGCGAACCAGTAACGTTTTTTAAAATTATATGAAACCTTTCTTATTTTGTCATTTTTAAATTTGAATTGACGTTTAAGCGACCATTTTATCCGGCCACGGAATTTTAGATCTGACAGGCTACTACGAATTCGCATTGAAACTTATACATACCTACGTGTCTAACCGTAAACACAGTTTGTAAACAATACTTTTGAAAAAGTATTAAGATACTAATAATAGTATTCGAATAAAAAAGCATTAAAAATACTTTTAAAATACTATTATAAAAATGTATTTTATGAATACTTACAAAGTATTTGAATACAAATCCAAGTATTTTTTTTAATTTTATGCTATATTATATATATATATGCATTGTACACCAGTATAGGTACCTTTTATGTTACTACTTTCCATGAATCTTAACAATTATTATAACATGTCTGACTATTTAGAGATAAATACATGTTCACATATTTCATTCTGCATTCATATATATTTCAAATAATAATGATTAAATTTCAATGAAAAAAATATAATAAAAATTGGTAATATTACTGTTAATATGGAACTATTTCAAATTTATTAGATTTTCAGTTTTCTTAAAAAAATTCCAATACAGAAACTATATAAAATGTAATGTGGTATTTAGTGTGGTAACATTGTTATTACCTACCTACTTTTACTATACAAAAACATAATATTAGTTTTCAACAAAATCAATTTTTTTTTAAAAATAATAAATTAAAATTAATAAAATTCTTTATGGTATTTTAATACGAGTATTTAAATTTTAGTAAAAATACAATTAAGAAATAATCAAAATACTCAAAAAATAAATAAAATAAATTGTATTCAGAATAGCATATAAATACTTCAAAAAGTATTCGAATACTTTACAAGACTGGTGTCTATTTAGCAAATAGTTAAAGAGTTATAATTTATAATAGTAAATAACACATGGTTGATCAAATTGCATAAGTACGCAAACCACCTTCGGTTTGCTTTTAGTAGATACAAAATATCAACAAAACGTTAATATAAGTTTATTAATTCTATAACAAAATCTGTTAATGTCGTGAGGATGAATGAATCAGTAATAGCAATACAGTAGCCGTCGCTTATTGGACTCACGGTTAATTGACTCATTCGTCTATTAAACTCAAAACGGCTGGTCCTGATTTGCACATATACTAACACACAGCAAAAAATTCGTCTATTCGACTCACACACCGGTTATTAGGATCATTTTAAAATCAGATAAACAAGGAAAATATGTACATACATTGAAAAAACGTGTTATAAATAAGTCGGTACCGGTACATATTTTGCTTTTATCACGGAGATAAAATAAATTACTTTTCACGATAAACCAAGCAGTCGTCAATGTCAATTAGTACGGCAGGTAGTGTATGAATAGACGTCGTCGTGTTCAGTGTGTTGCCTGCGTTTACATTCTGTGTAAACATTTTTATTTATCGTGTTACAATGAACAAACGACGTGATTTGAGTGTGGAAGAAAAATTAGATGTTCTTAAAAAATATGACGAGCTTCCGAAAACGAGCCAGCGACAAGCAGCATGTAAGTTGAACGTGTCTCAAAGTTTACTAGGTAGGATGCTGAAAAGTCGACAGGAAATCGAAAACGCATCATTAGAAAATGTGAATTCAAACCGTGAAAGAAAAAGGGTCGGTAAAGAAGAAGAAGTTGAAGAAGATTTAAAGCAATGGTTCACAAAAGTCAGACAAAAAGATGTCCGAGTTACAGGACCACTTTTGCGCCAAAAAGCCGAAGATCTTGAGAAAAAAATAGGCAAAGATAATTTTGTGGCAACAGAAGGTTGGTTTCACCGATGGAAGAAACGCGAAAACATTTCATTCGTTAAGCCACATGGAGAACAGGGAGAAGCCAACCATGTAGCTGCACGGTTGTGGATTCATTCAGAATGGCCATCAGTTATCGCCAAATATCCTCCGTCTTGTGTGTTCAATGCGGATGAAACTGGACTTTATTTCAGGGCATTACCTGAGCACACTTACGCGTTCAAAAATGAAAAAACTAGAGGAACTAAAACTAGTAAAGAACGTCTAACCATATTATGTTGTGCGAGTATGGATGGTGAAAAAAGAAAACTGCTTGTGATTGGTAAAAGTAAAAATCCCCGGTGTTTCAAGGGTGTTAAGAATCTACCGGTAGACTATACTGCAAACAGTAATGCATGGATGATAAAAGAAATTTTCACCGAATGGTTGATCAAGTAGGACAATGAACTTCATCATGACGTTTTATTGCTAGTCGATAACTGCACGGCTCATGTGGTTACAGTGAAATTTAAACATATTAACCTCGTATTCATACCCTCTAACACTACATCAATACACTTTATCAAAAAATTAATTTATTTTATTAATTAGGTACATATTTTATTTAATTATTTTATTTTTAATTGCGTATAGATTTTTATTTTTATACATACATATTGAATCTCAATACATATTTTTAAGTAAATACGGTTTTAAATTTAAGGATTTTTAAAATTTTTTTGAGTCATTCGCCTTATTGACTCATTCGGTTAATCGACTCAAATTGTCGGGTCCCAAAGTGAGTCCAATAAGCGGCGGCTACTGCAGTTCCTTTACTATATTATCTTCACCGTCCCGTGGTCAAAAATGGTTTTTGGCACGTTGCGGACCATGTACAAAATTTAAAACAAATTTTACATTTGGAAAACATTTTTTCATTGAACCTGTTTTCCAAAATCTTGAGTTGGGAAAAAAAAATTAGACTTTTAATTAACTGTCGTTTTGAGTGACATTCCAACAACAATAAATGTGCTACATAACAAATTCACACTCAGAGGTATTATTAATTTCATAATACCAAAATCCAAAAACATTAATGCAATTGGGCATTATGTATCATACAATTGGAGGGAAACTAATAATACATGGGAACGATGTGATGACCAACTGCATTCCACACGATACGTAAGAGTATCCACAAAGGTTAACTGTCAATTCATACTGTACACTAAATAAAAAAGTATTAGGTTACTAATGTTAGTATATTTTATAATTTGAATAAGTCAAAAAGCATTTTAAATAATGTATTTATGTTTTAATTTAAAATTTTATTCAAAAACTTAAAAACTGTAATGTGTCATTTATTTTTTAATTAAAATGTTCATACGTTTTAATTTTTACGTAAATAACTATTATAATATCTGTTTTTTTTTTTAATGTTTGTAATTAATATTAAAATGTTCTTATACCTATATCAAATTTGTTATTATTAGTAAAATATTTTTTGTAATTTTAATTTAAAACTATTATAAAATGTTACATATATATACTTTCATATTTATTGTAGAATTACTTTATATTTCAAGAAATCAATAAATGATTACATTTTTATTAAATGTATACCTAAGAAAATTTGTCATATGAAAAATATTTTATTATATAAATATATGCTGTGTAAAAAGCTAATGATATAATAATAATTGTTTGAATGTTATTTAATTTAAAAAAGGTGATTGGCATTTATAAATTGGAAAATAGATATCCTTTAATAATGAACGTATTGTTTTGGTTTTCTCAAATATAAACAAAGAGAAAAGGTCTTATTATTTTGTATGCAAATTCATTTTTAAAAAAATTATGTGGGTCATTACTTAAAGTATGAAAAAAAACCCAAGTAAATCAGAATTTTCTGCCGAAATTTGATCACAAATCTGCACAAACTTAGAATAAACGAACAGGTCGATAATAAATAAAAAATTGGTTACTTACATATACTAAGTTTACTTTATAAAATGTGTTGATAAAACAATATACACAAAAAGTGTGTTTAAATATATTTTGAATTTATTAAGCATGTCCTTAGGCCCCTCCCTCCTTCAATGTTTAACATCTCGCAAACGGGTTAAACGCGAACGATGGGAATAAAAGCACAAACAAGCACAAACGAAACTCAAACGACTGTAAAAATTTGAATTCGAAAGTCCGAGGTAGTGGAGGGGCTGAGCATGTCATAGTTGACCACTTGTATTTTAAACACTTAAAACATTAAAACTAAAAAACTAACATATTATTATTTTTAACATTAAAACTTTTATCGATACAAGAAAAATAACAAACAGTTGAAACAGCTTAATGCTATAGAAATAAAGATCAGTTTTAGTCTAAGTAAAGAATTATGTACTCGAACGATGTGGTTGTAACAATGTCCACGACGACTAATAATTTATAAAAACGAAAATGACCAGCCTAACACTGTCTAAATCATAACTGCCTATCTACTTCTGATCATTCGTAAGTGCTCTACCCGTATTTATGCGGGCTCTCCCAAGGACTTATGGTGGCGTGATATTAAGTATTCTAATTATTGCTTCTCATTATAATGTTAACTTGCATTTATTATGTGTAAAAGTGAAAATAACATGTTGTTTTCACCTTCGATCCATATTTCCTGTTAACTAGGCTTTTTAATTAGGCTTTCTCCGCTCACCATTATTTACATATTGCAATATATATAATACATTTTACATATAATTTTATAATTTTATCAATAATATTGTCAGATATCTCCCATAATAAACCTATTAATCGACCTAGATGGTGAGACCATGGCAGTGTTAATAGCAAAGATATTTCCGTTTATATGATAGGTTAATTTAGTGTTGCTAGTTTATTTGATTTATATAAGTAATTGAATTCTAATTAATATATTTAGTTATAATTTAATCTAATTTTATATAGGTGTCGAAAGTAAAACAATTTCATATACCATGTGTTTGTTAATTGTTACCAATTTAGGGAACACCGAATTTCTTGGCCGGATTATGTTGAAATAAATCAAATTTTTTTACAAGCTAGTAGTATATAAATACACATTTTCAGATAAATTTCAAATTTTTAACCCTCTCGGTACGTGCATACGCAATGCAACTTATTATTTTTTTTTAATAGCAACCGTTATTTTTGGTACCAAACTTGGATAGATTGAATTTTTTAAACCATTTTGACCAATTAACCATGACTCTAAAACCAAAATTGACTGAATAAGAGCTATTTAAATTTTAATAAATAACACATTTTTACAATTCATTATAAAATGCATAAAACCATTTATAATTATTTATTATTGGTTGGTTACTTTTTGAATATTTTTACGTATTTTTTTTATACGTTTTATAAACAAGATTAACATAATATAGATATACAATTATTTAATTAAAATTTGATTTTATTTATTTTTAAAAAATGATTTTATGCATTTTATAACCGAGAGTGTTAAAAATTTGAAATTTATTAGAAAATGTTCTAAATAAAAAAAAAAAATACTTTGATACTCTAAGCTTTCAGGAGTTTATAAATAAGTAAAAAACTAAGACATTTCGTATTCATAAAAAATCATGATAGTGTTATCAATTAAGTTATTATTATTATTATCCGATTACAATTTAATTATTATTAGTATTTTTATATATATATATTTTCATTATTTTAATTTATTAAATAAACAAATTAAAATTATTAAATTACTGATATGTTTAAAATTTGACGTTTTCAAATATTTTTTTTTGGAAGAGAGGGGATGGAAACCTCCCAGCAACCCCCCCCCCCCTATAAATACGCCACTGATACAATCATACTTGTTGAGTTTTAAACAAATTTTCAATAAAAAAGTTAAAAATATCAAACTAGTAGTCAATTATAGATTATATATTACAAAAATTACACCCTCTAAAATGTTACGCCCGGATATGAATCCCCGTCTTCTTGCCCCTAGTTCCGCTTCTGCATAAATCATAATCATGGATGGCCATCTGGGACATGTCCCATAGTGAAATTTCAGATGAAAACATTTTAGAACTTTTGAGTACTGTTCATAATTTTTATACGTCATAAATAAATTAAAGTTTGAAAATAAAAATATTAGGTATCAAATGAATAATTTCTAATTCGTACTTTTATAATAAATAACTGATAAAGTGATAATGAATTACGCCGAACCAGTGGTAACACATTTTAGAAAATTATGAGTTCGTAAAAAATTAGCCCACAGTGGAAACAATTTCTATACACGCCACTGATCAGGTTAACCTAACCTTGCACAGGAATGTTTTACTGTACAATTAAACCAGTGGCGTCACATTTGGAAGATGGTGTTTACTCCAGTCTAGTAGGTCAGTTTATCTACAAAAATGAACTGTGGGTCAGTAGATCTCCTGACCCCCCCCCCTTAGAACAACCCCTGCCGATAGGTGTTATTCATGACGTACACATTTTGCTGTAATTCTTTATTCACATGTCGAAAAAAAATGATTGCAAAATGTTTTGGGCGAGGTGGAATTGGTGGACCGTCGGTACGATCTTGCGTTACCGTTAAAACATATACATTTTACATTAGTTCATTATGGTTATTAAATCATTGTTTTCATAGGGGTTGGGGAATATTTGTGTACAGTTGTCGGAATCAAATGCTTTCACAGTAGATGTTTGATCAAGCAAGTGATGACGATGCGTGTGCTCGCCGTACGGCGAATAATGGTACCTAACGTGTCCAAGCACCTCTGCTGGAAAGAACGAGTCCGTCTGGTATATATACCACGTACAGTGGTCACGACCGTCACAAGTGAGAGCTATACATCGACTCGTCTCTGAACAGAACGTTGTACTTTTCGTTTTATAGCAACCGCCAGATGGCGCGATTTAACGTTATGTCCCCCGGCGGACCGCGGACAATTCGTATTGTTCCTCCGACAACGGTCTCCAGCAGACTTTGGACAAGTGCAACGAATCTAATGACAAGACGAAATTTTGCAATCTCCCGGTCTTCCCGAATGACTTCACGCATCGCTATCACTCAAATCCAAGAACATGATAGACCGGTTTGGATTAGATAAACATTGGAACGCGAAGTTGAAATAATTCACCAATTATGCTCGGCATACAGCTTTCGCCGAGCCCAATAGCACGTCTCCTCGGAATTCAGCTTCGTAGTAACATTTGGAGCGGATGGAATCTTAACTATCCTTGTGATCTACACTTTTAAACTGATAATCCGGAATTCAATAATTATTTCTTACTTCATTTGATTCCTGAGAACGTGGAACATTCCTAATTTATTGGTACTTCAGGTCCCAGGAGCAACTGAATATGTCACAATACAGAATGTAGATCAATTGTTATTAGTACTATAGAAAATACAATATAATTAATGCGCGTAATTTTAACATTATTTATTTATTCTTAAATACTTGACCTAGGAATAATAATAATAATAATAATCAAATAATATAATTCCTTAATCCCTAAAGTGAAATCTTTAGGTTCAAACTTAAATAAAATAAAGATTTCCCTAGATAAATAATAAAAAAGATATGGTATATTCTGTAAAGTTCATATTTTTAAGAATTATTTAGAATTAATGGCATATAATTTCACATTACTACAATTTAAGTATTTGTATATAATTTACTGTATCATCTTTACCAATTTCTGTAACATATATAGTTTACAATTAGTGGGATTTTGATTTAAGGGAAAAAATACCATCATTGGTTTAATAAACAAAATTAATCATAACTAATCTAATTAATAGATCCCCTAACATTGTTCATTTATGATGAAAATTACTATTAATTTCAAGTTGATCTTATACAAGTATATATTCAGTCTGCATTCCTTACCATAATAACACTATAAAAATATAAATTAAATAAAAAAAAAATATATACAGAAAATTAACCAGATTAGAATAGCAATTTAAATTTATAATAGCTTTATAATTGATGTATAACTGATGTATGATTTATATTTAATATTTGTTAATAAAATTAACATATGAGCTCTTATATCCAAAGAAAAAGAAATTAAATACAAATAAAAGAAAACAATATTAAAACTGCCAAAAATTAAATATGAACACTTAAAATTTATTAAAACGGAGTAGTGTTAATTTAAGAAAAATTTAGAAACATGTCAATCTTTCTTTTATTTGAAAACTGCCACCTAAGAATACTAAATATATTTCAGATTATGTGTACATCAGAGTGAGAAGTTTTTTTTGGTTTCCAAATAATAATAAAAAAAAAATTAATTACTTTTCAGGAAAACACTTTCAATGCTGTAAATATTGTCAATATTATACATTATAATATTAACGTATGCATTTATTACCACATAATCAAATTCAATAAATATTTATTTTGTAGCAATATGAACATCATACAGAAATATATTCATGTACCAAGATGTTTTTAAATGTAAAGATAAAAAAACATGACTATAGCACAAAAGTTCTACATTTGAATAATATGAAAATAATAATAAACATGAATATATCAAATTTGGAAAAAAAAAACAAACAGAAGACGAATCATCCCATTAGTCATCTAGCAATCATTTAGTGGCCTTTCTTTTATCTTCAGAATCTTGAGCACGACTGGTACGCCAAGAACTTCCTCCTCCACTCTATAAATTATAACCAATATATTATAATATATATTATCAATTACACAATTAGTGGTACTCTACAAGTTGTTTCTAATTAACTAAGAATTATTTATTTACCGGTTCATTAGATGAGGGTATTTCACGTTTTCTGGGCGTGTCTCTATCAAAAGCAGATCTTCCTCCTTCTCTTGGACCACCATCTTTGAAATTCTTATCAAATGCTCCACTACTACTTACGCCTCCGCCACGACTCCAACCACCACGATCATTATCTCTTGAACCAAATGCTACAGTCTTACGTTCATCATTACCTCTACTACTAAATATAGACCGACGTTCAGGTGGTGGTCCATCATCTCTAGTACGTCCAAATCCTCCTCCAGCTCCTTCTCTTCTGTCTTTGTCTCGTACGGAGCCAAATAATTTGGTATCTTCTTTACTACTTTTGTCAACATTTCTCCATGAAGATGTAGTTGAAGACGAAAGACTCTTATTCTTCTCTTCTAATTTTCGTTGTACTTCTTCTTCTTTCTTACGTTGAATTTCAGCTTGTCTTTCAAGTTGCTCTTGACGAGCCCTAATAATTTTAAAAAAGTTTAGATTATTTTAAAAATTATAATTAAATGTTATTACAGATACAACTAATAGATAATAGATACTTACAGATTAGCCAATCGCTCTTCTTCTTCTTTTTTTTTCCTTTCTTCTTCTTTCTTTTTACGCTCTTCTTCTTCTCTGCGTGCTTTTTCTTCTTCTTCTTTGCGTCTCTTTTCTTCTTCACGTTGTTTGATTAGAGCAGCTTTCCTTTCTTCTTTCCTCTTCTTCAGTCTTTCTTTGCGAATTATTATTAACTCTTCTTCAAACACTACTAATTTTGACTAAATAATAATATTTATAAATTAATAATAATATAAGTATAAATTTAATTAATACAAATTGTTACTTGGAATTCGGCAGTACGGCGTTCTTTCATTTCTCCTAAGAAAATATCCATGTCTGGTTTCATTCTAGCCAATCTTTCACGGTTTTGTTCTGCTAATTTGCGTTCCTGAATAGCTAACTGTATACGTTCAGCTTCTTGATGCTCCCAGAATTTTTTATCATGAACCTGTTTTTCTTTCCACGCTTGCTCTAATAATGGAATTTCTTCTATTCTCTTAGCTCTTTCAAAATAATCCATTTGCTTCTTGCGGTTTTTCAATTTTTGAACTAATTCTGCTCGTTCCTTAGCCAATTCTTCTGCTTCTTTGGCAGATATTTCATCAGCATCCATATTTTTCAAAGCCTAAAAAATTATTTATATGTAAATGTTAAAAAATATAATATTTCACACACAATAATAACATTGTTTAATTAATTCACTGAAAAATTATTGTCAAATAAAAAGAAAAAGGCTCAAATATTTATTAACAGTAATACTAATTTAATATTTAATAAAAATAGTAATTGAGAAAAAATGTTTAGTTAATAATCTTATGAATAGATTAATATTTCTTCCAAAAATGAAATTTAAATAAGAAAAAATGAATTCTTAGTTCAAAACAATAAACGTATAGTTATTTGAAATGATTAATGAATAAAATACTGTGAAAAGATACATTTATATTAAGGGTAACAGGGTGACGTGCATTCACATACTTAACATTAAAAAACAAAATAAAATGCTTAAGTTTCTTTGTATAGCTTTTGGAAAGTTTAATAGAAAATATTATTAATATGATAGGAAACATTTAAATTAAAGTGACTAAAAAAATAAGACATGTTAATGTAATTGATAAATTGAAGTACTAATATAGAACAATGGTTTCTAATTTCTTTAATTTTACGCATCACCATTTTAATTTTAAAAATTTGATGACTTTTTTTTATGTTATATATATTACAAATAAATAATGATTTAGTTAATATAGTTAATGATTTTATTGATAATATTTTATATACACTTTGGTGATTGTTTGAGTAATGTTCTTGTTCACTAATAATGTGTTAATTTTTCCAAATTGGGAAACGCCGATGAGATACTTAGTATAATATTAAAAATCACTAATATTTTGACTAGGGATATAATAATAATTTAATAATTATATTTATAATAACTAACGTCATCATTAAGTTTTTTCAAAACTTTTTGTCCATGAGCAGTTAGAGAAATCTGTTGCATTTTTTCTTTGAAATTTCGATCCTTAATTGCTTGTAGTTCAGATTCTTGGCGTCTTTTTTCCCTTTCTTCACGTTCAGCTTCTAATCGTTTCATTTCAGCTAAAGCAGCTGCTCTGGCAATTTCTTCAGCACGGCGAGCTTCTTCTTCTTCCTATGATAAGAAATTGTATTAACAACATGAAATTATTACATCTAAGACATATTTCATTATAACTAAACTACAGTAGGGCTTTGATTAACCATGTGTTGAATAATTTGTATTTGTGATTAACAGTGCTAATTCTTCCAAAAATTTTTATGTGCCAAAAGTAGTCATATAAGCAATATATTGTACATTGGTTTAAAGATGAAAAATAATACTAATTTAATAAAAATGTGTAAGCTATACTATATAGTATTATATACTATATAACATATTTATATTTATGAAAGTATTGATATTCTACTGAATTTCTAAGAGCAGTAAAATTTTGTCTATCATATCATGTAGTCACAAATTCAAAAAAAATTATAAGTGAAAAATATAGTGAAATAAGAAAAATAATTTTAAACTGAAAAATCAAAAACCATTTACTTCATGTGTTGAGCTATGGTTATTCTAAAACATGACAATATGTATAAATATAAGATTATATATAAGTTAAATAAAATGTAATAAATAAAAAGTTTTGATTAACTATGGATTTATATATATATATATATATATATATATATGGTTTCTATGTAATCGCTTTGCTGTAATGTGAGAATAAAGGTAAATTTAAAAAAAAAAACTATGATTTTAATTTGACCATATGACTCCTCCCCGCTTAACCTCAGATAATTGAGGTTATATTTTACATTAAGAACTTAAAAACCAAAAATAGTTATAAATGTATACTTACTCTAACGGTATTTAATCTTTCCAAATATTCTTTACGATCTTCAATAATTTTGTGGCGAGCCAAAATTCTTTGATGTTCCTTATCTTTGGTTTCATGGTGGTATCTTATAAGGCTTTTATGAATTCTTTTACATTCCTCCTATAAATAATATATTAGATTTTAGATAAAATTTATTCCAAAATGCTTCAATATTTATCGTAACTTTAAAAAAATGTATAAATTACAAATATATAATATAAAATAATATTAATTATAAATTAAGATTTTTAAATCACATTCCATTGAAAAATACTTTTTAAAAAGCAACCATGTTTTCAGAATGATTTTGTATAATCATAGATATCATTCCGATATCCGCAAAGAATTTATTCATCATTAACAAGGAGTAATTATGTTATAGAAATTCAGAAATACTATGTAAAATCACTAAGATATCATATATCCGCAACAGTATTAATGTTCATCATGCATAAATTATATTAATTTTACTTATAGTATTATTATTATTTTATTTTCAGAAACTATTGTATAATCATAAATATCATTCCGATATCCGCAAAGATTTATTCATCATCAAATAAGTAGAAAATAGACTTTTAGAAATACTATGTAAAATCACTAAGATAATCAAATATCCTCAAAA